GAAAACCTATATTAAAGGCACATCAGATTTCCTGGGAATAGGTCATTTTACTACTCGTTATGTTATACAGAAGAGCCTTCCCTTCCTACAAGTGTCCAGTTACCACACTGACCGTGACTTGGCTGAACTGGTGGACCCAAAATGGCCAGCTCCAGGACCTAAATGGTTATATTCTGTGCCTTGGGGATTCAGAAGATTACTCAACTTCATCAAGGTGATTACAGAGTAAATATTTAAAAGGAAGTGAACAAGATGTCTGGCTACATGCAGAAGCTGCAGGAGCTGCACTTAAGCTATTTTAGATTTGCAACAGTTTCACCTATATATTTGGGAAGGTTCTTTGCCGAAAACACCACCTTAATTTCAGTTCAGAAAACTACAGAATTCATTAATTTTAAAATAAAAAACGTAGTTAAATTCCTAGGTACACATTTTTCTTACTAAAGGTAACTGTAAGTAAATCTAGAAAATTGTTTTTAATGCATTTTACTAAGAATCTCATGTTCTGTCAAAATGAGATTATTTTGTTTACATGAACCGGTCCAAACATATCTTTGTTTGCAGACACAGTATGGGAACCCTCTCATTTATGTGACAGAAAATGGAGTTTCTGAAAAGGTACAGTGTACTCAACTGTGTGATGAATGGCGCATAGAGTATCTGAAAGGATATATTAATGAAATACTGAAAGGTAACTTTAAAAACATCTTTTTAGTGCATAAGCTTTTTGAGTGTTTTCACCTCCTGATTATTTTTTACTCCTGCAATTTACATCATAGAGAAATAAATATTCACAGATCAAAATGGACAGCAAACTAGACTAATAAATTTTCACAAAAATGACAACCTAGCCAAATGTACTGATGCTAATAAATACAATAACCTACATGAGATTTAATACTGTAATAGATCATCAGTTTCCACTTTTAGAAAGGAGAAATTGCACCTAATTACCGTTCTTACAGAGCTTTAGTACCTCTAAGCTAAAGATAACATTTTCAAAGAATCTAAATTACTTTATACTTTGCCACTTTTCTGTCCTCCTCCTCCTCCTCCCCCCTTCCCCATCTCTTCCTGGTGTAAAGCAAAATACCTACAGAACCCTATTTGAAGGACGAGAAACACAGGCAACAAGCTTAACGGAATAATTTGTATTCTGTTTACAGCTCTAAATGATGGTGTTAATGTCAAAGGTTATACTGCCTGGTCACTGCTGGATAAATTTGAATGGAACAAAGGCTTCTCTGAAAGATTTGGATTCTATCACATTGATTTTAAAAACAAGAACAAACCACGATACCCAAAGGCATCTGTTGACTATTATAAAAAGATTGTCAGTGCAAATGGATTCCCAAATCCAAGAGAGGTGATGTCTTTATTCTTTTTTCTTCAATATATGGGCAAATATCACATTGAATTTCATGAAACAACTTGCATGAATACGATACATGAAATTTGACACTTTGATTCTGTAAATTAGGGATGTGCTAAATACATGGGCCTCCAGGGACAGAGAAAGTGGAAGCTACCTCAATTACTGTTTCTAGAGCATTTCACAAACTCTGATTGGACTTACTGATGCAAAAAAAAATTTTAAATCACGTTACTAGTGCTCTGTCAGACTTCTAGGCAGAAAATTACACATATGTGATATCTTATTGGAAAACAATATGGAATATATTATGTGCTTTTTATAGTTAATTGTTTAATAAAATTTTAAGAAATATATTGCAATAAAAGTCACAAAGATACAAAGAAACTTTCAGAAAATTGTGTTGACAGAGCAAAATAGTTCCAAGTCAATTGTAGCGGACAAATGTTCAGGGACAAAGAAGCTGCTGTGAATGAGACTTGAACATTACAGTCTAATAGAACTGCTGCATGTCAACCTCCTCAGGTGGAAAATTGGTATCAGAAGGCCATGGACACTTGTTCTACCACACACCAACTCCTTGCTACAGGTAATTATGTATCTTTTGTTTTGTTTTATAAAAGCATATTATGTAACTTTCAGATTTTAAATTTCTCTGTGAATACTACTGTTAGCGGATCCTAAAAGGAATTTTCTCCCTGAAAGCACAACAGCTTTCAAATACAACAAGCCTCTGAAGAAAAATGTCTTTATTTACTCCCTCCAACTAAAATCACTGTACCTAAACAGATCAACTTTGGATGTTAGTGGAATACACAAACTGTAAGAGTTACTATTTAAAATTAAGGCTAGAGATGACAGTATAATAATAATGAAAAGTGCTAAATGCTCTTTCAAACATAAAACAAAACCAGAGAAATCAAGACAACCATGCAGACAGAAAAATCTCTAAACTGTTTGACTTCTACATAAAACAAAACTATTTAAAAAATGGGCTAAGTACTAACCTACGGTAGCGTTAAGCTCATTTCCGCTCTTTCATACTCCTGGTAGCAAAGCTAACAACAGCACAACTTACAGCAGCTGCTCAAGAATGCATAAATACAGCAGACTTTGCCTGCAGTTTCCACAGTGCCAGGCTAAGCCACCTCACTTAAGACCTTCCCAATGTAATTCAGGACCTTTCATAATTCCTGAACTAGGAGAACAGTGCGCCGCAGTGGATTTCTGAAACTTTTAAGAAAGATGAAATAAGTATTATAAAGTCTCATAAGAAGGATGAGAGAAATTCCACATAGCAGAAAACATCAAAGCAGTCATCCTAGGTTTATCCTCCTTAGCCTCAACTGCTGACTGATATGTTCTATGCGAATTAACTGTTTACTGAACGTTTTGAGGCTTATCTGTGGAGCAAAATTCTACAAAATAAAACCCATGTCATTTTTCAAAGAGCTGCAAAACAATCATAAAAAGGCTAAAGTGCTTCCCAAGGATTTCTCTTTGACAATTTTCTTTTCTACTCTTGCCTTGGGAGGGGGGAGGCTCAAATAAAAAAAAAAAAGAATCAAAGGAACGGTAGAACACTGCTAATGCACTGAAGCGAATTCATAGTAAGCACATTTTTTGCAGCCCTTTGAGCACTGACTTCTTCAAAAATTTACCTTAGAAAGAAAAAAAAGAGAGGGAAAACTGTCATGCATTTGCCCCAGCTTTTGCAGACTTAAGAAATTTTGTTTGTTTTGTGTGCTGTTTATGCCAATGTCAACATTTAACAAAATAATTTTAGCCATAAATGTTAAAAAAAAAAAAAATCCTTAATCTACGTTAACTCTAAGTTAACAATTAGTATAATCCAGAAGATTAAACTTCTTACATATTACTCATTTCTCAAATTTTAGATTCCCTGATTACTCGCATGGAAATGATGAGAGAGATTGTTCTTCCTGCAGTTTTCACACTCTGCATACTCATCAGTATTGTCCTACTAATATTCTACCTTCGAAATCACAGATAAAATTGTCTGCTCACACACATCTTCATTTTGCATAATAAATAAAATGCAATGGTTTTATTATATTGGTTAAAGTTTACCACAGATGCCTCTTTTTATACCACTGTAAAGATAAAGAAATATTACTTTACCTATCCACCTAGCGCTTATTGTTTTTTCTAGTCAATTCCCAAAACACAATTTAAATTTTTTTAATCAAAACCCAAAGTACACTTTCTTTCTGCATTACTTTCCACTAATTTTAAGTAGCAGATTTTATGTTTCTCATTATTTTGGAATCTACTGCACATTTTGTTCACCAGAAAAATAGTTAGCTAAGATTTAAGTGATTCAAGTCTTGCCAGTACAAATTTCAAGTGATTAAAAGCTGTCTGCAAATTCTGATTTCAGTCTGTTCATCAATAGACTTTTAATTAGCATTTAACTGCTATTTGAAGAGAGACGGACACATAATTTTAAAATGAAAAAGGATATAAATATTCCAAGAGCACTGCTTAAACATTAACTTATTATTAATTTCTAAAAGTTAGGATAATATATGCCTTACTATTACGTGTGGAGAAGAATTTGAAGTGACTAATCAAAGATGACAACTGCTGAGTCAGGGTTAAACCAAGGACTCTTATCTCATTAGTTTTGTTTACAGGGAACTAGGTTTACCTCATACAACTTTATAATATAATACACATTTCTATGTGTAATCTAAGAAATCCAAGCACTTCCAGAATGTACTATGCCACCTCAAATTGACTTCTCCTGCAGGTAGGAACAAGTTGAGTACATGATTATAAAAAATTTGTTCCAGAATATGGCCATCTGGCTATATTTGTCCTTCTGTTGTGCTTGAAATTATTCCTCTAAAGCAAAGCAACAAACAAGTTTCCTATTCGGCTTGCACTATAGTTTCAATGCTGCACATGCATATACTGAATGCAGAGCAGCAGTACATAAATCCAAGAAACAACCTTGTTCTTAGCTTCTTTTCAAAGGCTTTAACTATTAAACTGATAGTTATTAAGATGCAGTATTAGGAAAGGGATAAGAAATACATTTTTAAAAAGCACGAATATTGGAGTTTTTCTTATTCTTATTTATCAGTAGTGAATAGTTTCTTTTATGCAAAACGTTTCTGTCTCAAATTAGTTAATCAGCATATACTACACTATATAACTGTTTAAAGTTACACTACCAAAACATTACACACACTATCTAATCATCGTAAGAACACACGCAACTGTCAGGAATTAATCCCAACAGGTTTAAATGATTATGCCCAGCCAATTATACTGAACATTTTTTTCAGAAAATTATGCAAAAGTACACAAGACAACACTGTTAAAATAATTCACACTGCATTGAGGGGAAAAAAATGAATTTCAAGAGGACAGAGAAGTATACCCAAGAATACTCCAAAATATAAATACAGGGACAAAGAAAACCAGACCATCAGAAGTTCACAATGCCCTGGATGAACAGCTTTCCAAATATATCTGGATGATGAAAAGTCACTTGACACCAGGAAAACATGATGATATTGCTTGTTTTGTTGGGCTAAGATAATTCACACTTTGAACAGTGTCTGATTGCATTCTTAATGAATAAAAATAAAATTTAAAACCCCAAAGTGCAGAACTTTATTGAATGCCTGTAAATATACGAACAAAAATATCTTCTATATTTTCAAAATAATTATACTGTACATTCATAATTGCACAACGTTTATAAACAAATTAGATACATACAGATTAATTATGGCCGCGTATGTCACACTTTAAGCATACCAAAGCAAATAGCTCAGTAAGATGTACTGCTCTTCAAAGCACAGAGTGTTTCTAAATATACTGTTGGGACACAGGTAATACTGAACTTTCCTCTTTACGGTACCTTTCAAGTGCCTGCCTGTAGGGTAACACGCATTTATGTGAAATGCACCTGACTGCACTTAGCCATTGTAATAAAATACATTCTTTCTTCAGTGCTTCCATTAACTGTGGAATCGGAAAAGAGACCTGCATAGACAAAAGAAAAAGACGTGATTAGACACTATTCTTAGAAAGAGAAACTGTAGAGATTAGCTCCTGTAGCAGCTTCAAGAACTGGTTTCAAAACTTCAGTTTTACTGAAAGGAGCACTTCATGACAAAAATTGAGAATGGCAGGAAAGCTTTACCAAAGCGCTACCCTTTACCAAACCCCACCCCAAAAAGGCAAATTATTTCTATACCGGTCTATATGCTCAATTCTTCCCCATCCTCACACTTTTTTAACTTGTTCTACATTTGATTGCAGCAAAGCATGTCTTCCCTCCTTAGCACCTGCTTGCTTCTCTGACTAGAGGCCAGTATTCAATAACAGGTGCATTTCTCTTCAAACCCATTCTCTGATACACTAGCAAAGATTTTAGAAATAGGGGATAAAATATTGTGTAGAATATTTAACAGTCGTGTCATATTTGGAACTGTTCTGTCATTTTAACTCTAAAAACATTAATTCTGCAAAGGTGAGAAGGCAGAAAGTCACCACTTTGTGCAAATCTTTTACATTCTATAAATACCATCTCACCCTTTTATTAAAAGACAAAACATAGTTTGGCTTTTGCTGAAGATACAGGTAAGAAAAAGTTCAGATCCACTGAACCCAGTATAAAAACTGAATTTGAAATGTGTACTTTCATTACTTCATGTCACCACAAATATTCCTTACCTGTATTGTTTGACGTCTTATGTTCAACTGGAGGATTAGTGCTAACTTGCCATGTTGTTTTAACCTCCTTCTGTCCATGCCCGCTACTTATGTCCACCTTCCATATTTCTGGGTGGTCACTGACAGAATAATCAAGAAATGTCAAAATTCAGTCAGATGTTCAGTCACACCTGAATTTTAATGCTGCAAAGGCTGAAGTTTCTCTTACTTTTGATAGAACTTCTTGACAAGTGCTGGTCTGATTGGCAGTTGAAACACATGCTTCTCATTTAGAGGGTTTTCCTTATAATACTTCATGCAAATTCTACAACAAGAATCAACTAGTTACTAACTTTCTTTGGAGAAATGCTTGTCCAACACCACTTAAACCTTGTGCAAAATTAACTGTACTCTCAGATTTTATTATTTCCTTTGTTTTCCAATTTTAGTCACAACCCAAAATTTAACAGGAAGATCCAACTGCTACTTCTGCAGTCTCATAATCACCAACATTAAGGAGGGTTGCTTTTTTTTTTAAAGAGAATTTCTTTACAACTGTCGAAGAGACTCTGTTTTTTATTGTCATTTAAAGAGCAAGTAAAAATGAAATAATTACTGTGTCAAAGGGAAGAGGTTCTCGTGTTTAAACTGAAGTAAGACTGTACAGCTGACCATTATTTCCAGCATATGGTGAAGCTTTTGAACACGATGAACTTGTTCTTGTAAATCTACTGATGTGGAAATGAAGTAATCCTGGAACAGCAAACAGGTTCCGCTCTTAACTGGACACTCAATTTCTACAGACATCTACACAACACATCCTCAGTATACTAAAATAATTTTCCTGCTTCTTTTGAGAAGCCAAAATTTTAAGAATGGCCCAGCAGACTCAGAACAAAGTTCCACGCTATCAGAGTATGAACAAAGGTTCACTGTCCTGCCTGACAATGACCCCTATCAGATACCTAGGAATTCATATATGAATAAGGAAACAACATACTGACATTTCTGCAGTGTATTGTCCCATCCTCATAATTTGCAATTCAGTTTCTCAGCTTTATAGGAATGATATGACCTGCATCCCACCATCAGCTAAGTGTGCTCTACTTCATACTGCTTTCAGAGTTTTAAAAAAAAAAAGAAAAAGAAAAAGAAAAAGAAAAAAAAGCATCTCACCAAGTAGGTTAATGTTGCAAGTTCCTGGCCTGCAAAATGAAGGGGGGGGGGGG